AAGAGAAAGAACAAAAAAAGGAAGGAAAGAAAAGAGAAAAAAAGAAGAAAGGAAGCGAGGGGGAAAGGGGAAACAAAGGGAGGAAGGGAGGAGGGAAGGAATATAGAAGAGACACACACGTGCACGCACATGTATATTTGTTTAAAGTTCACATGGGTACAGTTATAAAATGAAATTTGCCTCCATCAGAGCAAACACAGACATCATCTATGGAAAAATACCTGGCCAAATTAAAAACTTGAAGTGAAGCCATTTGTTGCTTATGGCAGTTTAACCAACTGTTTTTTGAGATGATTATCAAATGCAGTGAACTGACATAAAAATTATGATATGAACTTTCTACTAACTATATTATGTAGCAATGTGCTTGTTATTTATATAGATGTAAAAGATGTTTATACAAGACTCTTTTGGTTCGCATAATTAAATATGCACTAATTATGAGATTAAACTTCAGTAGCAGTAAAAAATAAAGCAATATGCTTTACAGAAACTGAGCCCAGGCAGTCAACATATATTTCTGTTATAGCTATTGCTACACTGCCTTGGCGCTCTTTTGTGCCCCAGCTTCTTTTTTTTTTTTTGCATTTTACTGTTTTTATAGGAAAACAATTTTATGTGCTTATTTTGTATAAAGAATGAATAGCTAAGCAGGATAAATTAATGTATCAAAAGGTTTACCTGCATTTCGTATGCAAAACTTAGCTGTGCTTAGAAACTAGCACTTGAGCACTCGTATTCACCTTTTACACACAAAATCACTACATTTTGAAAAACTGCTGTGGAGTTCTTAATTTGCAGCTGATGTAAATCTGAAGTCCAGAGCTAAGGAAACCCACACCAAACTTCTGATTTTGGTGGAACTGAGTTCTGAAGTCCGTCACTGAAAGCATAGTTTAGGCTGAGGTTTCTCAAGGACTGTAGACACCTCTGTAATGGGACATTCAGTGTCCTGGAAGTGAATTAGGTGCACGAATAGACTGACACCAGAAGAAAATTAACAGATTTCTTTAAGATGTGGAACATTAAAAGTCACGATGTCCTGGAAGTGAATTAGGTGCATGAATAGACCAACACCAGAAGAAAATTAACAGACATCTTTAAGATGTGGAACATTAAAAGTCACGCTAATTCAGAGCCCTCGACAACAGCAGAAGTTAAATTCTGGTATTGCAACCCACGGGCTGACAGACTCACTTGCCTGTGGTCATTTCTCTTGATCTCCCCAACATATCACATTTTCCAAAAACAGGACAGACACACATTTCACTCCTCTGCGAACACTCTCTGCCAGCCAGGGGGAAAAGGGAGACTTTCTTCTCATTCTGTGTTAACTGTGCTGCAAACAGCACCACGCTAATTGAATGATAGCAGCCTGACAGAACCGATGATATGTGATCCCACCATTAATTAGTAGATGTTCCTTCCTGCATTGGAAGAGTTCAGTGTAATCGCACCAGTGATCTCATGGCCACACAGCCCACTGCGATGGGCATACCCTTTGCATTGAGAAGCTGTGCGTCAAGAGTGGCAACCCCCAAGCCAGGTTAAAAAAGAAGGTCTTGGGGTTTTAACCCTGGGAACCTGAAGTTGAAGCTGCACAGCTCAGAGACCTAAGGTCAAATATGCCTTTTCTTTTTTTCCTGGATCCTTGTGAGATTGGTCGTCCTTATCCCCCTTATTTCGTGTCATTGGAGGTAAAAAACTGCCATAGTAATACAAGGGCATGCTCGCATATGGTGCTAATAGACACTATGAACATTCATAGAGGGCCTATCACAGTGGCATCTGCAGGGAGCAGGACATAGGCAACCAGATAGCATCAGCCCATAGAAACAGATGTTTACCATCCTCTGCCTTTCTCAGCTGAAGAAAGACAATGTTGCTGGTGGGGAAGGTTGCTCACAGAACACTGTTTGGTGGAACGGCTGCTCCACTGCACATCTGGATCACTCCCGCACACTATGATCTTGTTATCATTACCTGGACCTCTGCGGAAACGAAGGGGTTGGTGCCATTTGCTCTACTTTTGCAAAGGACTAACCAGTACATGGAGGGGAAAAGGGAGCGCAGGGAACTTGGCTTTTATCTCTCCTCCATGAGGAGGTCTCCTGCAGAGCCCTGCGCCCCATGTCTGCCACAATTGGGTTGTAGAAAGCCTCCGCTGCTTAGTCCCGGAGTTGTATGAGTTTGGAGACTCAGTGTAATGGGAATTATCAGAGAAGGTAAGAAACCTGTGAAGGCTGTATGATGGTAGGAGATGGGCGAGAGATCACCAGCCCACAGCATCTGAGCTCTTACCCTGGCAGGTATTCCAGCTTTCAACAGCTCATGCATCCCTTCACGTATACCATGTCAAGTGCACCCTGGCTGGGTGAGGCAGTCCTTGGGGAGGCTGTAGGGTGGTCCCCAAGCATGGGAGGGATCTTCTGGCTGTTCAAGCTGAAGTGCTATTTGTTTGGTGGCATGTCACCTACAACCGCTGCCCTTCTTGCTCTGTGCTGGCAGCCTGAGAACCTCGATCTGCTTGGTTTACTTCAGTTAAGAGGGAACTGAATTCAGGCCACGTGCAACACAGGGCATGTTTTGAGCCTCACACTGGCTTCTTTCCCTTCTTCTGCTCCTTTCAGATGGTGTCACTGCAAAGTGGGCGCTAGAGACAGGCTAAGGGACAGAGCTCATGAACATGGTGCTCAGAAAGACAGCTCATGTCCACCTACAAATTTGCATAATCACACTAAAAATGTACACCATGTTCTACCAAGAAAGGGAATAAAATTAAATTAAACCTGTGGCATTGCTGAACTCTCTCAAAAATTCAGCAGTAATTATGAATCCTGTAAGTTCTTTTGACGCCTTATTTGAAAGGTCCAAATATCTTTTTAAGACTCACCAACTATTAGCTCACCAGCAACAGCACACATGAATATAATGAACAAAAGCTTCCACGACCATACGGGTAACTTAGGAATAACATGTAACTCTGAATCATACAGATATTTGTAGTCAGATCATTCAAATCACTTTATACAACCAAACATTTTCAGTAAACGCAAGAAATGAGTGGAGAATAAAAGTGGACATTTTTAATCCTAGACCATGAGTATATCTGCTTTGATTTTTGTCTCTCACGTACATTAAAAAAAAAGCATCTGTCAAGGCTGGAGGGAAGTTTAACTGTTTTAGCACATGTTGTTATCTTGAGTTACTGAATGGAATAGGGACCTGATGATGGAGCTACATTAAAACTTTTGGGCAGAGACACAGGTAAACGGGACTCATCTGGCTCTGCTGGGGCAGATCTCTGAACCCAGCAGGTGCTAGATTTGAAGAACAAGCAGTAAGACCAGAGAGAAGACAATATAATTTCCACCCTATTACCCCACCTTTTTCTTCTTTCCTTTTTCTCAGGAAAGTAAAACAGTAAACAAAATAAGTAGTCTGAAGAGCATTTAAGGCTGTCAATTCAGGTTCAATAAATTCTCTCGTGTTACTGCCAGGTTTAAAGCTGGTATTGTTTCTCCTGTGGTTTTTGGTAGATATAGAAAAAAAAACCTAATGAAGCAGTCTTACACCTGAAAGTAACTTGCAGGCTGAAAAGCTGCCTGACCCACCCTCTAGGAAGGAGAAACACCACAGGTTTTAGGTGACCTTTTCAAGGGCAATTGTTCTCCCACTCTTTTTTGCAGCAAAGAAACATAAAAATTTCTATACCAGCACACAGAACTCACACAAATCAATTTCAGAATAGTCATCCAGGTAAGTTTCAGAATTAAAAACAAGTGCCAGAATAAAAAGAGTAACAAACATGGAGACTCAGAGCTGCAAGAAGCATATATTAAGATGAGATTTACCCATCACTTACTGGTTTCCCAGCAGAAGGAAGGTTCCAGCTGCAAATGCTGGAGGAATATATCACACTGCAAGGGTAAAGCGTGCAGGGAAAAACAAGGACAAGACAAGGTAGCAGCAGAAGAGAATAAAGCAGAGTGGACCTGGGGGTTCATTCAGAGGTTGGACTGATGGCATGGAGGCAGGGGGAACAGCTAATTTGGGTGGCAGTGACTGATCTTGGTTTGGATGGAGCCTGGAAGCTGCAGCTGATTTGACTGTGTAGTCTGTGATTGCTACAACACAGGGAGGGACATGCTGCCCACAGTCAGCTGGCAGTCTGGGGCCAAGGAAATCAGAAGGTGGAGGGAGCTAGGGCAGAGGAGGAAGAAGGACTGGAGGGACAGGGCTGAAAGGGACATGAAAGTTGCTTTGAGTTTCATAAGTTCCCAGGGTCAGAGAAATGTCAGGTTCCCATGATATAATAAAGGGGATTTGAAAGGGTGTGAGAGCATCCACTGGAACTGATTTAGAAAAAGGCACTTCTATTTATGAAAGAGGGCAGAGGGAGTCCTGAATCTCTTAACGGTCTTTACCTATCCTGCATTCTAGAAACCAGAGACATTGTGCAGTGAATCAGGGGCTTCCGTAGGTTATCCCAACCAGACCCATGCAAGTATGGGCTGGACAGCTTGGATTTAGCTGTGAACCCAAACTCTGGCCACCTATTTTTATGCCAAAATCATGTCATCTTAGGAGCTCTTGCCACATGCTCATTGTCCTTCTGACCTATCTTAGAAACACACACAAGCAGCACTGTAAGTTAAGTAGCTTGGCTGACAAGACGGACTTTTCTTTGCTTATCATTTTTACTGTTTTGGCTGGTTAAACCTGACAGCACCTTGTTGATGTGGCAGGGAGAAAGGAGCAATCAGACGTGGGGAAACACAAGGTCGATAGGTAAAATTATAAAAGACTGGGCCATATTTCATTGCACGCACTATTCAAAAATATGGTCCTATGTTTAATGTTAGTGGAAACCATCATTCATGCATCATTGCCATAGGAAAATTTCTATTAACATTAAACATACTTTAATACCAGTAAATGTTACTGGCTAACAGAGGAAAGTTACAACGTGTGTAATTTTTCTCTTTATTTTCTCTTACCATGTGTAGGTGTCTGGGTGGCACTGTTTAGTATCAGGTGATTATAATTTTGTTCTTGGTCATCTGAAATTCACAGAAAAAAAAATCCCTTTAAGAAACAGCTTAGCATACCCACAGATCTGCAGATGATAATTACAGCTCACAGTATTCACAGGAAATCTCAGCATGATTAAAGAAAGGAGAAGAAAACGCTTAAGAAAGCAGAAGATTCTGTTATGTAGTTTGCTTAAAATTCCAGATGCAAGAAGAACACGATAATGGGAAACTTCTCCCCTTCTGCTGAGCCTGCAAATTAGAGTTATCTGCAAAGGTAAGAAGCATGCCCAGGCAGGGACAAACCACAAATGTTGTACTGACATTGGTGGTGTGTTCCTGGAAACTGTTGGAACCTCACAACCTCTGGTCCACCACTCCAGCTCCATCCAGAATGGAGGTTTTCAGGATGTTAGCCCCAACTACACAGATACCAGACTCTTCAGCTGTGACTGCAACCACAACAACAACGTCCTCCTGTGAGTACAGGCAAAGATCTAGTAAGTGGCCTCACAAATGCAGGAGGTAGAGTTAAATAGCTGCACATGGACTGTAGATCTCTCTCCCCTGAGAAGTGAGAATCCTGTAAGAACTGATGCATTTAGTATTAAATGCATAGTGCTGCAAAGCAGGAGGAACAATCAACGGCAGAACGACTGCTACCATTGTGGTTAGTAGCTACCCTTTGGCATGGAAAACAACTTTCTCTCTCACTGTAATAAAACCATTAGATAAGTGACTGCTTATAAACTTCCGTCATCTTTAGTTTCCAGACAAGCCTTCAATAAGGAATGAACTCTTTGTCCAGATCTTTACAACCTGCTATGGAACTGTAGTAGTGTAGGGTGAGAAGAGATTTCAAGAAATCTTTTTGCATCTCGTGCTCTCCCGCTGCAGGATGGGCTAGTCTGATGTCTAGTCTGCTATTCTTAAAAACCTGTCATTGATATTTCACTTTCTCCCCAGAAGATCTGTTTCATTAGGTCTTTCTTGCTACATTTTAGGCCAATTGTATCATTCCTGTCTACCTGGGAGGTGGAGAAATTCCCCCTTATTTCTGCAATGGCCCTTTATGATAAAGCTGTTACTATGTGTTCCTGTAACTTTATTCTTCAAGATAAACAATGCCATTTCCTTTATGTTTCCCTATAACGCTTGCTTTGTCTTTGATTATTGTCATTCCAGCATCCTGTGTTCTCTCCAGTTGACCTAGATCCTTCTCAAGTTTGCAACACATTCTGGGACCTGATTCTGAGAAAAGACCTTACCAGTACAGAGTGGAGTGACTGGATGTTTCCCAGTCATCTACCCTTGTTCACACGAACTTGCATGATACTTTTCTTTTCCTGGTTCATGTAAAGTTTGTGATTCTTTATGATTCCTTATTGCTCTTCCAAAGAACTGCTTCCTGTCCAGTTGTTCTTCAATATATACAAGGCTTTTAGTATTCTTGTTTCCATCCAATGCATAGCATTTTTCTCCATTTAATTAATTTATTTGCAGTCTATTTCTCCAATTTATCAAGAACATTTTAGATTCTAATCCCATCCTCTAATAGACTTATGGTCATCCAAGCTTCATATCGTCTGGAAATTTAATAAACAAATTTCTTTCCACCAGTAACAAAAAGACCTAATGCAGAACAACATCAGTTCATCCTTCTAGTGATATTTAGTTACCTTTTATGGTTAGTCAGCCATTATGGCATCTACCCTATAGAGGCTGATTAAGAACATGCCTCTGAAATTAGTCCCACATTACTTTCCCAGAAACGGCTGAAAATCTTGCTAAGGTCATGATCCTTAATATAAGCTATTTCTCCCTGGCCACAAAACACAGTTAAAAATAAAAATACCATTAGGTTGACATGATTTATTTCTGAGAAGTCCATGTTGGCTGCTACTTAATCTCACTGGAAACTCATCTCCCTGCACAGCATGCTGAATGTCTGTGTACAGCCAGGATTAAAATCAGAGGTTATTTATTTGGATGTCAACAGACTGGACACCTTAGCTTACTCCTCCATCTAGAAAATGGGCACAGACAGAACATAAAATATAATAACAAGAAGAAAATAAATAATAAAATACGCAAAGGATATTAGCCTGGCAACCAGTATGTGATGAGCAAACCTTGAACGGAGACCAGGTTCACACAAACACCTAAAGTGCCCTTGAATAAGTGGCCTACAGGTCACCTAAGTTAGAATTTTCCTTTGCATCCTCCACTGTCAGTTACTTTTAGCAAGCAAAAACCCTGCAGTAACTACTTTTGTGACTTTACTTCAATTTCTGTTTCTATATGGTCTAATTTCACTTTAACGTGAAAACTGGACTGGAGGATGGCTGGGACAAATAAAAAACTGGATATTTCTGGCATCCCTGTATCTGTCCGGAGGGATTTTTGGAGAGGTGGGACAGTTTTCATCTAGTTTCCAGGAAGCATGATACAGAACCCTGCTCGCTAATTTCAGCAATAGGTTTTAACTCTTTCTGGAGTTCAAACAGACCTTTTCAGTAATATGTTTTTAAAAGACTGTATGTGATGGTAAGGCTGATAAATGCCTAAAAGAAATCACTGCAGTACTTTTAGTTTTCATCAACAAAACCCATAATATATTTTAGGTCTTAACTGAATCATCTGGCTTCAACTCCTATTAGATCTGTGATTTTTTTCGGTGGGACTAAGCAAACAATTTATTAGTAGAAAACTCTTCCATATGTAGATATTTCTAGATCATGAGGCTTGTAAATCATCAGCTTGGTTATTCTCCTATGTAATCTAAATATTCTGTGCTTCTGAAAAGCTGTGGGGCTAAGGTCTAGGTTGGTAATATACAGACTTTGATCAGATCCAGTTCATGACATTGTCAAGCGGAAACCTGCTTTGAATATAACTGTCAGACTGGTGTTTAGTCATTATAGCCAGCAATGGGGCTGCTGGGACTGCCAGACACACAGCTTTGGAGCAGTTTCTCTGCAGAAATTTTGGGGTTCTTGGCTGCAAAGGCAGCTGTTTTGTACAGTGTACATTAGGGATGTCTGTGTCCTGAAAACAGCTGTTTCTCTCTTATGGCTGGATTTCTGTTATCAAGTTCATAAAAATCACAGAATCACTGAGTCTGGAGGCACCTCCGGAAATCATCTAGCCTGACCCCCTGCTCAAAGCAGGGCCAGCTAGAGCAGATTGCCCAGGACCGTGTTCATTATGGTTTTGAATATCTCCAAGGAAGGAGACTCCAAATCCTCTCTGCAAATCCTCTTCCAGTGTTCAACCACCCTCACAGTGAGAAAGTTTTTTCTTATGTTTAAGTGGAATTTTCTGCATTATGATATGTGCTTATTGCTTCTTGCCTTGTCACTGGGCACCACTGAGAAGAGCCTGGCTCTATCTTCTTTACTTACCTATCAGTTACCTACATACATTGATGAGATCCCCCTGAGCCTTCTCTCCTCCAGGCTGAAAAGGCATCCCTCAGCCTCTCCCATTACAACAGATGCTCCAGTCCCCTAAACACCTTCCTGGCTCTTTGCTGGACCCACTCAGTTTGTCCGTGTTTCTCCTATACTAGGGAGGCCATCACTGGTCCCAGCACTACAGATGTTTCTCACCAGTACTTAGAAGAGGGGAAGGATCAGCTCCCTTGGCCTGCTGGCAACACTCCTCTGAATACAGCCCAGGATGCTGGTGGCCTTCTTTGCCACCAGGATGCATTGCTAGTTCATGTTCAACTTGGTGTCTATCATGTATTTTAAAGGTTATTTTATCAGTTATTTTATCGGTTATTTCATCCACCATTTACTACCTTATTTATAAGTTACTAAAGCTGGTTTTGAAAGTTGCAAACCAGGTAGTGAGTAATGAGCCTTTTGAGTTTTTTGATGACCTCTCCTTGACATTTGCAGCTGATAAGTTCATTGAGCATGACTGAGTAGCTATACAGCCACTTTTCTCCTGAAAGCCTTAGTAAATTAGATGTCCCCAGGAGGCCTCCATCCTTCCACATGCTTTGTAGAGTAGCCTGTGGTTCCTATGCTAGTCCCTCTGGGTTTCAGCCAGATGTAGGGCCACAGTCATGTAGGGTAGCTAAGGAGAGCAAGGACTTCCAGCCTAGCTACAGCAAAGCTAATTCACAAATGAAATTGCAGAAAACATCCAAACACCCAAACTATTTGTCCTCTTCTCAACTAATGTTGCTTACACACTAAAGGAGCTGACAGATAAAAGGTTACACAGAGATTGGAGACACTTGTGTGGGTGAAATGCAAGCATTTAAAACATAGCTGACATAACTTCAACCCATTAATTGCTCCAGAAGGGAAACAGCAGAGGTTTCGCACTCCTGAAAACAGAGTACTCCAATGCAGTCACTCTCACAACTGCGCTCCTGGGTGAAATTGCGTCCTCACTGAAGACAATTACACCTGCATCTATATCAATAGGAACTACTGTCTTCTGATTCTGATAAGCTTCCCATTTAATCCCAAATACTTTCCCTTTCCCTTCCCCCCCCCCCCGTTTAAAAAACTCAGGTGCTTTGAGGCTACTGATTAAGAAATGTCATCCGAAATAGTCAGACCCTGAATTATTGGCATTTTCATGCGGCTGAGCTAATCAGGCATCTGAATGCAGCACTGGGCTTCATTTACCACTTCTGTAGTCTATTGTAACACTTTCTAAGCAATAAAATGATTTAAAATGATGGCTGAGACTTCCTGCACCTCTTCAGCTTTAACAAGATAATGCTGTTAATTGTGAAGTGCCAGTTAGGCAGAAGCAGATCTGTTGTAGAGACAAGGATCCGAGTTCAAAGCTATTTACTAGGAAACTCCATTAGGGAAGTAAAGGATTCACAGTGCTCTGAATTGCCAGACCACAATGCAAAATTTCTGAGCACAGCTGGAGGAGTGATCAGATACAATAACCAGCAGAAAGAACGAGACATTTTACTGGCAGCAGGGAAACCAGTGCTCCCAGCCCCTTTGCAGCCCAGGAGAAGACACATGGACAGACAGGGGTTTTAAGGGTTT